TCGCAGCCTCCCCCGGAGGATCCGTCCTCCTTGTTCCGGACCTCTGGTCGGCCCCGGGAACCGGGCGGTCCCCCGCGGCACCCCTCCTCCCCTCTCGAGGGTTGGAGGGGACCGCCGCAGGGCCGCTAATACGGGCCCCGCCGCCGACAAAAGCCCGGAACATTTCCTCCATTTTCTGGAGGATCTCCCTTTGGGACCGATCTACGGCCTCCTGAATCCTCCTCTCCACCATCTCCCCCGTGAGCTCTCCTGCCTTCACCAGCAGGGGCTTCCCCGTTTTCTTCGGGGCCTGGGGGGATGGTGGAGGGGGGTTCTTCGCCTGGCTTTGAGGGGGATCGGTCCTCTTCCTGGAGGAGGACCTCTCCTTTCCCCTTGTCCGCGATCTCTCCCTCCCCGGCTTTGGGACCCGGGAGGTGCCAGCCTTCGGCGTGACCACCTCCCAGGTCTTTTTTTCCGGGGGCGGAGGATCCGCCACCTTCCCGGGGGGAGAAGGGTCTATTAGCAACTCAGCGTCGGTCACCTCCGGCATTTCCTCCTCCCGCACCGTCTCTCCCGCGGGGATGGTATCCCGCCCCGCCAGGGGTGGGTCGGGGGGTGGCGGCATCTTCTCCCGGTCCCTGTCGTTTCTCTCTCGCAGGAGGTCGGCGACTAGAGCCTTGAGGGCCGCGAGCTCTTCCCTCAATTGCTCCTCCCTCTCGCTCATCCCTCCGCTCGCCCTCGTAGAGAGGGCGTCCACTGCGACCCTAGTATATAGGGCCGCGTCTCTTATAGCGCCAGCCAGGGAGCCTTTGAGGTTTTTACTCACCCTCGCGGCCTCATCGGCCCTGCTGGCGTGTTCGAGCACCTTTGCCACCAGGTCGCGGGTGGGGAGCTGGGGGATTTGTTCCTCCAGCTCCCTCACCCTCTTCCTTCTCTCGGCGCCCTCGAACTGGCGGGGATGGTAGTCCCCCTGGAGGACTCTCTCGGCGTCGCGCTGCTGCCTCTTCAGGGCGTTGAGAGTCCTGTTGGCCTCCTTGAGGGCAGCCGCATGGACACCTTTCCCCGTTGTGATGGGCCTTCCCCTTCCGTTCTTTCTCTCGGGGAGGAGGTCTTCCTCCTCCCCGCTGGAGCTGTCGAGGGGGCGCGCCTGCTTCGCGCTTTTCCCCCTCCCGCCGCTCCGACTCCTCTTTGTGGCCCCCGAGTGGGACGTGTGGGACTTAGTCCTCTCGTCGGAGCCACCGTCCCCCTCGGGGTCCCCCTCGCGCGAGGGTTCGTCGGAGTCCTCGATGGCGCTACTCGCCGCGCTCGACGTCATCGCCCCCCCCCCTCGTTGGTCTTCGGGGGGGTGAGCGTTCCGTCCTCTGGACCTTGCCGGCCAGGCCCGTGGGCTCTTGGCCCTGGGGGTCGGACTTTGTCCGTCGCGGATCCCGCTCCCGCCTCTCGACGAACTTCGAGCTTTTGGGGCCAGGTTTGTTTTTCCCTGTGCCCCGCAGCTTGCCCACATCAATGTGAGCGCTCTCCACGCTCACTATCATGGGGCCGGGTGGCCCTCCCGAAGGGCCAGGCTGGTGACCGCCTGTCGCGCCACCCTGCGCCCCCTGCGCGACCGCCGCATACGTTTGCGGCTGCGCACTCGCCTCCACCTCCTCTCCTCCCTCCACACCATCAGTAAAAAAAAAGGGGGTTTTGTTTGTCAGCCATTTCAGTCTGATCCCCATAACGCGCGAGGCTCCTCCGACCGGGGTATACCCCCTCCGGGCCACGACCGACCGCGAGACATGACCACGGACGCCGGCCGCAGCCCGGGCCCCCGAGTCCTCCCGGGGGGGTCGGAATATGCCACGGGACGGGGGGATACCGCACCCTGCCACTGGGCTCCAGCCCCCTACTCGCCCCCCCATTACAGGGGGTTTTCGGGGGTTCCGCGCCTCCGACCTCGCGGACACCTCGCGCGCGCTTGCCAAAGCTGGGGGGTCCCACGGACGGACGGAAGTGTCAGGGGGAGCCCTCCCCCCTTCACCCCGACCCGCCGTGGCGACCAGCGTGGTTGCGCCTTCCGCCGGGGGGTAGTCCGCGCTAGGAAACGTGGGCTCTCGCGCGGGCCCCCCGGCACGGGGTGCGACAGGGGTCGTTACTTCCCTGAGGCACCCCTCGTCCGAGCAGACTGCCGCCGCAAGCCAGGCGAGAAAGACTCCCCCAGCCCCAGCCACAGCCCCCCGCCAGCGGCCCCCCGGACCCCGACCTGGGAAACGTCCCAGCGGCTCCGGAGGGCCCCGTGCCGCCGAGCCCCGCCTCGGAATACATCCGAGCGGCCCCGACGACACGTCCCCTCAACCCCCCGGACCCCGACCTGGGAAACGTCCCAGCGGCTCCGGAGGGCCCTGTGCCGCCGGGCCCCGCCTCGGAATACGTCCGAGCGGCCCCGACGACACACCTCCCCAACTTCTCGACCCCGAGCCCCGACCCGGAAATAAGTTCCGGCGGCCCCGGGGTCGCGCCTTGTTGTGCCTAACCAACCCAGTGTTCCCGACCCAAAGGCACAACGAGGCCTCCCGCTCCTGCCCGCCCACCCGGTGACCCGCGCCACGCACGGTTGCACCACCAGGGTCGGGCCCCCCCACCCCGCCTTACGGGACCACGTCCCGCCCAGCGAGGCGGCGGCTCCGCCAATGCCGGTGCGCTCCCCGCCCGGCCCCGTGCCAGACCGCTCGTCCCGAAAGGGACGACGGCCTCAGACACGGGGTGACGGCCGGTTCGCGCCCCGACGACGGACGCCGGCCGACAGGCTGTCGACCGACCCTCTAGACCCTCCGAGGCCCTGCCTGGGAGACG